TTGATTAGGAGCTTGCTTGCAGTTTCAGAGGCTTAGTCCGTGGCGGAGAATGTGATGGCACATGTGGCGCTGGACCAGTAGCTGAGAGATACATCCTGGTCCGTAGACAGGAAGAACTGACACTGCGCCTGGCTTGGGCTTTTGAAACCTCAAAGTCACGAGTGACACACACCTTTTCCAAGAAAGCCATACCTACTCTACCAAGGCCACACCTCCTAATCCTACTCCTTCCAAATAGTGCCACTCCCTGGTGACTAAGCATTCAAATATACGATCCTATGGGGACATACCACATGCCTGTCATTTCTTTCTCCGGTCACCCATAGTCAGGCTTCCAGGACCCAAGCTATGAAAAGACATGGCACTCATGTGCCTCTGAAGACTTTCCATGTAAAGTAAATGATTTGCTGTATCTGTCTTCTTATGTACACCACCTATACCAGGCCCCCACTGATTCTGGAGCTATCATATTCTTTCCCCGGGTGTATTATTCTAATCTGTTCATCAGTTGGGCTCAGCTCTCCTGGTTCTGAGTAAGGCCTTGAACAGAAGGCTATATCACTGGTCCATCCTGTAAGGCCAGATGCTCGGCTACATGGGTCACACATAGCAGAGGGTCAATGGTGCTTGAAGATCAGTAAAGATGGGGTGCCGTTTGTAGCCTTGGTCGTATCTGGCCTTTATGATCCTGGAGCAAGACCTATCATTCCTTTTCAAATAACTGTTCTCTAAAGAAGTGCATCTTGGGAGCTGGCGAGATGGCTCAACAGTTAAGAGCACTTGCTCTGGCAGAGGACCTGGGTTTGAGGCTCAGCACCCACATGGAAGCTTACAGCCATCGTTAACTCCAGCTACAGACACCTGACACTGTTGTTTGAACTCGGAGGGCACCAAGCACACATGTGTACCTGTGAGCAAAACGCTCATAAGAACAATTTAAAAATTCACAAAGTAGGGACTGGAGAGATGGCCCAGCGGTTAAGAGCACTGGCTGCTCTTCCAGAGGTCCTGAGTTCAATTCCCAGCCACCACATGGTGACTCACAACCATCTGTAATTAGATCTGGTGCCCCCTTCTGGCATGCGGGCATACATGGAGGCAAAATGTTGTATACATAATAAATAAATAAATCTGAAAAAAAATTCACAAAGTACTAGATTCTGTCTTTTTACTACTAGGCCTTAGTAGGGAAAGCATATTTATAAGCTACCAAAATACCATGTAGCTTAGCTGTCCATCCTCAAATGAAAATAGCATATCCAAGACTGGCCCAAGGAGACATGAGTAGGTTACATGGGACAGGCGAGACTTGTGGTTCCTTGGTGCCTCTCTTCATCCCCACCTCAGAGGCCCTGGACTGGGTGTGTTCCAATAATCGCATGACAAAGGGAAGCTGTAGGCCTGGTTTACATGTTTCTGCATGGCGTGCCAGACACTGCTCCCCAGCGGACAGCTTCAGTACTGCACCCTCCCTTGCAGACATCTCTGAGGGCAGTAGGCCCTGGATATGCGCTTTCCTTGGAGGGTAAAAGGTCAGATGTGTGACTGAGTAGCAATTCGCATTCATGCTCAACGACTTAGTGAAGTAATTAGGCTATTGGAAGGAAATTTGGAAAAGTTGTGTGAGTAGCCCACTCAGAACAAAATATATATAGGTATCTGTGTTCCAAGATCACTAAAGGATGACCTCAGCCAAGGACATCAGTGATGAAGTGGACAGGATAACCTCTTCTGTGCGGGTACTAGGCAGATTCTTTTCTAGTCATCTATCATTGACCAATAGGTTCAAGGGCAATGGAGGCAGGGATGGTGGGGATGCATTAGCTAAAGACCATGGAATTGTATTCACCAAGGTCGACCTAGCTATATTCACTGTTGGCTTCAAGCGGCAGAGACTACCACAGAGCACCCAATGAGGTAGCGTTTCCTAGGGTAACCAGTCGGTGCCCAGCAGGTGGATTACAATGGCAGGGGCAGAGCTTTGTCACCGGAGTAGACACTTACTCTAGACATGGCTCACATGACCAAGATTCACAGCTCCAGGGACCAGCGAGGAAATGGAGATGGTACCCACCATTACTCTCAGTGACTCGCTAGCAAAGCTGACTGTCCTATCCTTGAGATGATGCGTTCTAGTTCCAGCAATTCCTCTGAGGAGCAACGCCCACTCTGCCAAAGTTCCAGTTCGGAATGCTTCGGCCATTTTGGGCTCCCTGTGTCTTTGAGTCACTGGCATGAGAAGGAATTTTGATCCCATGGAGACACAGTAGAGGATGATCAGAGCGTGTCTGGAACATGAGACACCTGAGACCCCTTGGTAATCCTCTGTAATTTGGGCTGGGGGCAGGGACAACAAGCAGTATTACAAGTGGAAGTACTTTAGGAAGGGAGGTATGGGTTTACGCTACCAAGCAAGGATGCACAACCAACCAAAGCACTTCCTGTGTGCAAAAGGGACATAGGATGGGCACTAGAAGGATGAAGGATGAAGGATGAAGAAGATCGCTGGGACCATGTGGCCAGTTAGAGAAAGGACAACAGCCATTGTGAGAAGCCATATTTCTGCTTCCCCCCCTTTCTTATGACAGAATATAAGATGTCAGCATTTGACTATGTTGGCTTTTACGTCATAATGTTTAAGTTGCAGATTACTAAGGGTGCATTTTCCAAAGATGGCCTCTTCCTTTAGGGTGAGTGTGTTTTGGATGCTCTCAAGATAGCTGCACCACGCCAGGCCGAGCCCAATTTTGCTACTGTCCTTGTTTGAGGACTGACTGTGGCTTAGAGCAATGTCCACTTGGTAGCAGAGAGAGAAGAATGGTTAATTCCATGTATCAGCTTGGGCAGGCTGTGACACATAGTTGTCACAGTCTAGGTGTTGCTGTGAAGGCAAGTCATAGGCTAAAATCAAGTAAATTTTAAAAATTGATTTTTTAAAATCTCCTTTAGAAGGTGACTTCAAGTATGTATCCTGAAAATACAGTGGCCCTCACCCAATCAGTTCAGGGCCTTCAGAACAATCTAGGTTTTCCAAGGACAACGAATTTTTGCCTCAAATTGAACAACAAATCCTGCCTTGGTTTCCTGTTTGTTTGTTGCCCTGTGCCACGAATTTCAAACCTACCTCACAGATTTTTAACTTTCTAGTAGTTATGTGCATTAATTTCTTAAAATAAAGAGGCTAGCGGTACCTTATCTATCATCAATCAGTCTATCCATCTATCTCCTACAGATTCGGTTTCTCTGGGAGTCTTGACATTTTCTTTATAGCATTTGCATTTTCTATTATAGTCATTTTCTTTATAGTATTTGCATAAGCAATAAAAGACATCCCCACTTTAAACACTGAAGTTTAGGGGCCTGGTAACTGATAATAAACTGAAAGAGATGGTAAGGATGTGGTTAGAAACACAGCTACTTAGGCGAATGTTACAGAGATATCCGAAAGCAAAGCCATTTTAGGCTTACAGAAGACATCTGATGACACTTGATATCAAAAAGCATGGGAAATTCCTCATCTGTGGACTGGGAAAAGATTTAGCTTTGTGTAATGGATGAACCACAGTTTCAGTTTTATAGAAGTATGAATTGTGGGAACTGGAAAGAATCTCCAGAGCCTTTGCACCATATCCCACATTGTCCTCAATAACCCTGAAGCTGAGAGATACTGGGAAACTTGCCTGGGCTCAGAGGGCTGAGCTGACACGAGGACTCTGGACTCCTGACCCCTGTGTTACAGAGATGTTCAGGATGATGGGCTCTTCTCCTGGAGTTTGCTGAGCCAAAAGCTCACGCCCACCTAGCCTCACATAGCCCAGCGTACTGCCTGGTTGTCCAACACTCATGAACTTAAAACACAGCATCCCTGTTGTACGTCACAGAGGGGATGCTCTTCTGGTTCTACCAGCAGAGGACAGTCTCTTGCTACCCAGTCCACAGTGAAAGAGGCAGCTGAGAGTGTCACCCATGGAGATGGGTTTGGATCGTTGTGGTGGTAGACCTAGGTTCCAGGGGAAGAGGTCTGAATAATGGGACCTGAAAAATTAGGGTTGGGGAATTACTGAAGGGGACTGTCTTTCGCCTTAAACATGTGTGACCAACACCCTAGAACCCAGAGTTTGAATTCATACAGACATGTCCTAAAGCAGCTACAGGATATGGGCAAATCAAGGTGACTGCTGAAGACACTGTGCAAACAACCTCAGCCAGCCCAGCAGCAAGGCTAGATCACGCCGAATATCTCTGGAGAGTGCATTTGATCTTATGCAATTATAAGGCATCCGACCTTTCAATTTTATTTTACTTAAATCTACAGCTACTAGAAGATTCTTCATTAGTTTTGTGGCTTCAGTTTCAGCTGGAGAGCATTGGTGTATAAAAGCGGAGTCTGATCCTGGCTGCTCACCACCTAGCTGCTGGCCACCAGGACCAGCTAGCTCATCGACTCAAATCCTTTATAAAAGGAGACAGCTGAAAATGTCATCCGTATCCACTAGCAGGTTGGCATCCTCCCTTTTCCCCCCAGCTTTCTTTTTTTCAAGAAACAAGCCCTTCCCATATGGCTGAACAGGCTGCAAACTGCGCACGGATGACACATCCAAGGGACAGGGTGCTGTTCATACCACAGATTTGTTTAGCTTTCACTGTCTTAGCCTGGCACATGGCAGTAAGAGCCTTGTTCTGACTAGACGGGTATATTGCAATGAGCCTCTAATAGGAGGGACCGCAGCGTATGGATGAGGGAGATGCCACTTTCTGATTCACGCAAAAATGGTTGCGGGATTGTTGGCCCTGGCAGAACCTTGAGGCTTGCCCGCGTCTACTTAATGAACTGCCTTCTTGATTTGGCCTTTAGCCCTACCAGCGGCCCGGCGGTGTATACAATAGAAGGGCTTCAGTAAACATCCTGAAGCCTCAATCGTCCAAAGCACCACAGGTAACTGTGTGAGAAGAACCCAGTAACCGGCCAGCTCAGGGTTGGCCCAGGATGGCTCACTTACCTTTTCGTTTTTCTTGTCCTCTGGTTTGTACCCTGTGTTGATGGGGCTGGGTATGGAGAGGCCACCGATGGGCGTCCCTCCAACCTCCCCACCGAGGTTGGCAGCACTGACGTTGGGAGGGGTGATGGCCGACGCTGCTGATGTAAATGGAATGACTGGCCGGGAACACATCTGCGTGGGGGGCTGCTGGCTGTGCTGTGGGGACACCACGGAACGGGGGCGGAGGCTGGTGGCAGGTAGGCGGGATGGAGAAGTCTGAGTGCGCAGGGGCGACACGGTGGCAGTTGGTCGGTCCAGGGCCTGGGCTGAAGGATGGGTAGCTGGAGAGATGGTGAATTGAAAGGTTAGTGTGCACTTGGCTATGTGATTGCCGGGCATTCTCCTCTCAGGCTGACCTTTGACCTCTGAGGGTTCTGAATGCTCCAGGCTTGCCTACCATTGCCAGAGGAGAAACTGAGGCCAAACAACCCTGAAATTGCGTTCTTTACTCTGGTCCAGGATAGTCTTTATCCCAAGTGTCCACGGCATGCCAGGCCATATTAATCTAGTATTTTCTTATGTTTTTATCATACTTTTTATATAATTTTTAAAAAAGTTTTTCAAGACAGGGTTTCTCTGTAGCTTTGGAGTCTGTCCTGGAACTAGCTCTGTAGACCAGGCTGGCCTCCTCTGCCTCTCAAGCACTGGCATGAAAGGTGTGTGCCGCCATCGCCTGGCATGGTATTTAATTTTTATCAACAAAATTTGTACTATTCCAGGCTTCAGAAATATGAGACAAATATACAATGCAAACAATATCCTCAGGTTCTAAATACACCACGAGTATAAAATACACTTGACAATTTTCACAGTGTCTGCGTTGGGAGGCCTCTCCACACCACACTCTAGTCTAGAGCTTTAGCTATAAGCTGGTCCTTCCTGACAACTGCCAGGTCCTCTCATGCCGTGGTGTCTTAAGGCTATAGGTGATCATATATATATATATATATATATATATATATATATATATATATACAAGGCAATATAGGAAAAGGCTTGAGGTAGGTATTGGTTTCTTTAAAGTGATTATTTGAGGTTTCAGAGCGGTTGGGAACCTAGCATTTGGACATCTTGGACAATATGCCTCACATCTTGAGGGAAAGGCCCAGTAATTATGCAGGGCAATGAAGGCACTGGGGTCATTCATCACCCTGTGACTCCTGACGAGGATTGTAGGCTCCTATGCTTTGCCTACTGCCGAACCCTCCTTTACTCCAACCTATCAGTCTTTGAGAAGAAGTGACAGCAGCCAGCCAAAGCCATTGCCCTGGGGCCCCAGAAACTCATCTTTAGGGCTGCTCAGGGCATCCTATGCAACCTTGTGCTCTGCCTTCTAGAAAGATACAGGCGGTTAATGGAGACGCGTGGTGTGACCACCATCTGAAGTTTTGAATTGTCTCCTCCTATAGGTCCTTAGCACCACTTAGTAGTCTATACAGTTTATTCATTTATCATATATCAAGTGTTCCTGTCTCCCACTACTGTCAGCTCTGCTTTGGGAAGCTGAAGACCAGGGCTGTTCAGTTCGCTAATATAATGCGTCCCGCACCCCTGGAATGGCGCCAGGCATGTAGAAGACACTTAATATAGTTTTTAATGAATGAATGATTACTCGCGAGGAGAGAGCTCCCTGTTGAAGCATCACTAATCATTTCACAGAAATTAATCATCAGAAGAAGGAAAAAATGTCCAACGACACAGGCATGGCTCCCTGCGCAGGCTGCCTAGATTCTGACTCACCAGTGATCCTGTTAGCTAGCAATGCCGGGGCAGCTACATAGTCTTGGAAGCCTCAAGCCAGCAGAAGAAGCTGGTAGAGAACACATGTTGTGGTCTTTGGTCTACGGTTTGCACTTTGGTGATGCCACGGTCTCACTAACACTGGTTCTCCTCACTCAGCTCCCTGATCTGTCCCCGGTTCCTGGAATCACCCTGGAACTCATTCAGGCCCGGGACATTCTCTGTGACTGTGCTTTTGATGCTTCTGTCTCGAAAGCCCCGTCATGAGCAACCCCAGTCCACCCTCTAGCTGAAGCTGCTCTTTCAACCTGTCCACCTCTGTCCTGTTATCTTGGCCCATCCCTTTGTAGAATGCCAGTGTGAAATATATACACCCCACAGCTCATGCTACCCACATAGTTTTCTTTCCCCAAATTTAAAAGGGGATGTCTTTCTTATCTGGCTATTTCTGATAGATATTTCATTTCTCTCCCTCACAGCTCCTGCTTTCTCTTTCCCTTCTTTGGTGGGTTTTATTCTATTCCTTGCTTTGGAAGACCCTCCCCTGGCCCCTGCATGATTCTTTCTGTCTGATTTCTCCATTTCTTGGTTCCCTTTTGTGAGCTAGTTTCCCTCCTCCTCCCCATCTGCTGTCTCTGGATCCCGGGCCCTCCCTGGGTCTTCCAGCTAGTTCGGTGCCTCTTCTTTGTGGAGCAGTCTCTTCCTAATTGAAACCCTCTCTCCCTGAGGGAGGCAGGGAAGCTCGCTTTTGTATGATTTTATTTACTCAAGTAAACAAGACCTCCAGCTCTCTGGGAACTGAAGCTTAAAAGGCTCACAAGGCCCAGCCAGTGGGCGACATGCGCAGAGTAGGAGGGGAGAGGGTGGAAGACTCTTAGGTGGGCTGTGCAGTCAGCTGCAAGTATATGGAACTCCTGAGTCCTCCACCCATCATGCTGGGGGGGGGGCTTTTGTGATGTGACTGCTATGGAGTCACTAGTGTCCCTGTAAGTAACCCCTCACCCATGCTACGTTAAAGTATGTCCAGTAAGTTAAGTTGTTCGCCAAATTAAACTTTGGACTGCTGGTCTGCCATTGGTGTTTGGAATTTAGGGTTGGAGAGAAGTGGCAGGGAGTTCACGGGAAGGCACTGAATCCAACTGTCCTCTAGTCAGGAGGTCACTGATGCTGCAAGACGTGGGGCACCGTGGCACCTGCCTTTAATGCCAGCATTTGGGAGGCCACGGCAGCCTGAGCTCTGTGAGCCAGAGACCAGCCTGGTCTACGTAGGGAGTTCCAGCCCTATAAGGGCTACACAGTGAGACCCTGTGTCAACAAGACATCCCCAGCAAACCAACAAACACTGCAGGAAGAAGGTGGAACAGTACGGGCGGGTCTGGAATAGCTCATGATCCACCCAGGGAAAACACCGCCTGCTCTTTTACAGTCAGCCTGTTCTGAGAGTAGTGAGGGGCAGTATGGTGGCCAGAGAGAATGGGCTGGTCCAAGGTCAGTTGACATCATCTTAGCGGCTAACCAAGAAACAACCAAATCTGTGCTTTTTCAATCCAGATGCTCTCGTCCCTTAAATCTTTTGATCCATTACTAGTTGGGTCAACCGCTATGGTGGGTAGGCCATATATAGAAATACAACTTTTTCTCTATTTATATACTGAGTTTGTATCTTGCAATGCCTAATTCATTTTTAAGTTGTAGGTAGGTGTGTGTGTGTGTGTGTGTGTGTGTGTGTGTGTGTGTGATCCTTAGGGCTTTCCATGTCTAAGATCCATATGTCTACAACTAGGAAGTTTCATTCCCTCCCTCCCCATCTGTGTACCTTCCCACTCCGCCCCAGCAGGGACTTCTAGTGCAGAACTGAACAGAAGCGATGGGCCGTCTTCCTGGTCTAGGGAAAGCCTAGTCTCTCACCACCAGTGTGCGCGCATCTGTGTGTTCTCCCAGGGGGCATCATCACGCAGAAGCTCATTGCCATCCCTCGTCTTCTAGAGTTCCTTAAATAAGGAGTAGATTTCCTGTTCTGGGAGACACTTTTTTTGTTTGTTTGTTTTTGAGATAGTCACATTATTTTGGTCATTACCAAGATGAAGTATCTAAGTTGTTTAATGTTAACCCAGCCTTGCTCTCCTGGGATAACCCCACCTGGAGTTCCACCCTTCTCATTTGTTGCCCAATTAAATATGGTCTGTGATTTTACTGTCTTACAATTTTTTAATTAAAGCAACGCTGGCTTTATGGAAAAGGACAAAGTTTTTCTCCCACCCTCTTTTTATTTTCAATTTTCTAGGCAAGTCCAGAAAGTTGTTTCATTACTGCTCCATTGTTGCATATTTAAATCTAAATGTTATAATTTCTCCTTTGTTTTATGTAATTTACCAATGAAGTCACATCTCCCCAGAACTTCCTTTGTGGGTATTTTAAAACTAGAGACTCAGTTTCTTTTATAGATACAGGCCTGTTCAAGCTCTTTCTTGTTGACTATGTCTGATGATAAATGTCTTTAAGGCCTATTTGAGTATGTCTATTTCATCTATTGTGAGAACTTACTCACACAAAGACTTTAAGACATTATCTGGCAAACTCTAAAATGATGCTACCTTTGTTATTTCTGGAGGTGTTGACTTTCAGATTTTCCCCTTTTTACTTAGTTCAGGTGGCTGGAAGTTTATTAATTTGATTATTGACCTTTTCAAAGGACCCCCTTTTAGCTTAGTCAATTTCACTACCCTTTCTCTGTCTTGCTCTACCGATTTCTTTCCACCCCATTGCCACCCATCACTCCATTTAGCCCATAGCCTATTAACTTGATACACTTCTTTGTTTCCTACCAGATATTCCATGCTGGAGAAAAATAGAAAAGAAAAAAAGATTGCATTGGCTGTATCCTATAAATTTTGATATGTTGTATTCCTATTTATTCACCTCCAAATGTGTTCTACTTTTTATTTCTTCCTCGATCCACTGATTATTTTGAGGTATATTATTATATTTTCAAACAATTATTTGTGATACTGATTTCCAGTTCAACTCCACAGTCGCCAGGGATGCAATCTGTGTAACCGAGTCCCTTTACACATACTGAGGTTTTACAGGTCAAGGCCCAGCTATGGGTTAACATGGGAGTGATATGTGTGCACTTGAAAATAATGTGCATTTTGATGATGATGGGTAAAATAGTCCCTAAATGCTAATTAAATTATAAGTGGTTATAGCTGTACTCATGATCTATACTATTATCAATAGTTGATACAATTTTGAGAGAGACTGCAATTTTACTTTTGTGGATTTCCCTATTCTGTCAGCAGCTTTATCTGTTATTGCGTGTGTAGCTTTGGAGCTTTATAATTTGGTGCATTAATACTTAGAACTGTTATGCCATCTTAATGAGCTCAGTCTTCGCCATCATGTCCTCGTTATTATCCCTAGTGATTCGTGGCTATAAATTCTCCTGTCTGACATTAGTAGATCAATTTCCTTTTGATTAATATTAGCATGGCACATTCCATTCTCATTACTGACAGGATCTATATTTGCATATTGTCCC